TACCTGCTTTAAATGTTTGTAAATGATTAACAGTTTAGAGAAAAAAAATCAGAAAAAAAAATCTGAAATTTAACTTTAGAAAAGTAATCAAATGTAATCAGTTACATTAATAAAGTAATGGAAATAGTTACACTACATATTCCATTTTAAATAGGGTAACTTGTAATCTGTAACCTATCACATTCCTAAAGTAACCTTCCCAACACTATTTATCCTATATATATATACATACAGAGACTTAAATGCAAATTACATTAGATTTTTTTTCAAAGCCTTTAAAATAAAAGTATTTTGTATTTCAAATACATATTTTAAATACATGTATCTGAAATACTGCCCATTCCTATATAACAGGGAAATCACTGGTCATTGAGAGGTCAAGGCGCACCAAACGTCAGAGGCTCAGCATTACCCAATTCTGTTTCTGCAATACTGTCATTAATTCACAATATTACTCATATTTCAATCTGCTAACGTTCTAATTGACAAAATATCACTAAATGACCTAAACAATGAGGGCACGATGACTAAGTCATACGCAGACTACAAATGGGCGGAGTTCAGACGCGAATAAAAAGCAGGGCCGATCAGCCAGAGCGCATACTGTCCTGACATTACACCGCTCTCATCAGGTCGGCGCTTTCTCTCTCGTCAGGTTTCTGAAGTCAGCGTTTCAGGGGCACCTTGTCTTTGGAAGCAACTTGATTTTGGAGATCCACGCGTTTGTTTCTGTCCGCATTTCCTCGTGAAGAGCCCGTTCCGCGCGCCACTGAAGAAGATGAGCCGCTCGCGCTGTGTTCCTCTGCTGCTGCTAGTGCTCTGCGGAGCCGCTGAGTTTGCCGAAGCCTGCAGCTGCTCTCCTGAACATCCTCAGCAGGCGTATTGCAATGCGGATGTCGGTAAGACTCCATGCTTTTAACTAGTTCATATTCATAACCATGTCTGTATTATATTAATACAATGTCGTGTGCGTATTCCAGCAGGTTCATAATATGACAGACAGCACCTGACAGCTTCTTTTATTCTAAAAATATGGTAAACTTTTAAGTGATGATTTCGTAGATATTTGGACTGCATTCAATAGTATTTAATTCCAAATGCTAAAGGAAACCAGCAATTTTCCTATTTATGTAAGATTTCATTCATAGTAGTGGACAGAACCACAGATAGGCTCTGGGGTCAGAATATTAAAAGTGTTTATGTGCTATGCTGATATTAATATAATACAGCTCTCAAAAGGGCACAACAGGGTCCAGCATTTTAGCTGTCTTGGTAGTTTTTTTGTGTGTGTAATTTATCACTCTAACACTATTTTACAGAGTCCTTGTGACTCGTAACATTTAATATAGCAGTAACAGTAAATTATCCATAATTCCAAGCAACTAACCCTAAACCAAACCTTAAACCTATGGCACATGTTGTTAATTAACTATATAAAATATTGTGTTAATGTTTCTAGATAATCCAATGAATTATATACCATAGAAATGAAAAGTACTTTAAATCTCATTCTTTGGAGCTTCATGGGCAAAATCTAAAGGGTAAGCTTAGTCATAAAAATCTTACATTACATAATAGCGGAGTTAAAAACAAAAGACTCAAAAACTAACATAATTGTTTTTTTTTTTAAAGGCGGTTCTGTGCTTAAACTCTGAATGGATGAGTCACATCATAAGTCATTATAAAGCAATTTAACACACACCTGTTCACGTAACAATATCAAGGTGTGATGCACTTGGCAGCAATAAATTACCACAAAAACTAGCCTTCACCATTGTCTGTATGACATACAGTACACCTATTAATAATAACAAGTTCTGCTAATTCTTAACACTCACACATAATCTTTCTATTTGCATTATTCCATTTATATTCATCACTCTAGCATGTAAATAACATAAAGCAGTCTTGTCCACTCATAGCTGTGCAAGTATGTACCACTATTGTGCAGTATATACTTGGAAATCTAATAATGTTGAAGTGATGGGAGAGAATCGTAGGCCTAATTTTAGCTTTATTGCATCACTGTGTGTAACCTGCCTCTGATCTGGCTGTGATGCTTTGACCTTCAGTGTCCCTTCAGTACCCAGCCATTACATGACCTATGCATTTTCCATTGTTTGTGGCCCTCTGATTAAGACCTTTTTCAACAGGCTGATTACAATTTCAAAAAACTGAGAAAGTATTGCCACATGCTAGCAACATGTTGTGGTTTGCCTTTGACGTTAGTTAGATGGCCATTACATGACTTGGGATGTTGAGACTTGGGTTACTGGAGTCAGGCACAATCATGATGTACCCGAATTACCACACACCCACCTATGTGTTGAGTGACTTGCTGAAAACAACATCTGCTGCGCACCACAGGAATTGCCAATCTTATACTCTTAGTCAAGTCAAGTCATATTTATTTAAACAATATAATGGTGACCCATACTTGGAATTAGTGCTCTGCGTTTAACCCATCCAAAGTGCACACACACAGCAGTGAACACACACACCGTGAACACACACCCGGAGCAGTGGGCAGCCATTTATGCTGTGGCGCCCGGGGAGCAGTTGGGGGTTCGGTGCCTTGCTCAAGGGCACCTCAGTCATGGTATTGAAGGTGGGAGAGAGCGCTGTACATTCACTCCCCCCACCTACAATCCCTGCCGGTACGAGACTCGAACCCACAACCTTTGGGTTACGAGTCCGATTCTCTAACCATTAGGCCCCATGCCATATGGGGCCATATAGAAGACAATAGTGTCATTATTCCGCTCGGTGTTGATTCAATTTAGTTTCAATAACAGTGTCAATGTTGTAAAGTTAATTCATACAGGTTCGGTTCAGCTGTAAAGCAGCTCTGCTGAAGACAATGGTGTCATTATTCAGCTCAAGTCCGTTCAGTGTTGATTCAGTTCAGGTTAATAACAGTGTCGAACATATAATGACACCTACACACAATAACTCTCAGAAAGAAGTTGTCAGTTGTTCATTATGTTGTTTTAACTCTTCCCCCAGTAGATGTTTAGAGCTGTGTGTCCAGCCTGACCTGTAGATTCCCCTTTACATGTGTCCCACGGGACCTACAGAACCCGTAAATGAATGATGTGGAGGGCTCCGGTTTCCCCTCACATACCTGGAGCTGAAAACAGCACCCGCACTGTGTGTGTATCTTCCGCCTCGGTGTGAAATGAATGTGTGGAAAAGGGAGGCTGTGATTAAACCAGCATAAACCCTGTGTGTGTAGTTACTGATGAGAGAGGCATGCCTGACTTGAGACTGGGATCCTGTGGGTGTATTTGGCATTCTGAGTGTGTGGCCAATTGAAAAGACGCTCTGTGTTTGGGCCTGAATATGCGGACGGTATGTATGGGCTCTCTGAAAACTCAGATACATGAGGGGAAGTGTTTTATAGGGATCGGGTATGCCTCACACATCCTGAAAAGTGAAGCTGCGGGCTCTTTGATCGCCCCCTGGTGACTGGCTGCAGTACAGGTTATAAACCCCGCCCACATGAGGGGAAGTGTTTTATAGGGATCGGGTATGCCTCACACATCCTGAAAAGTGAAGCTGCGGGCTCTTTGATCGCCCCCTGGTGACTGGCTGCAGTACAGGTTATAAACCCCGCCCTCTCCATGTAAACGAATGGGACTTGAGTCAAAATTAAAAAATAAATTACGCTTCCAATACAATTTTCCGAAAGATGGTTTTGGTTCATTTAAGGTAGTTGTTAACACGCTGATATATTTTCAATTGTTCGTTTTTGTGATAAGTTTGATTTTTGCTAGTAATTTGATGCTATAAAATTTGTTATGGTTGATTGGGTTTGCGGGAGTTTGGCTGGGAGTTTGATACCGCGGCTCCACCTCACGACACTACTGCGCAGACTCTGGCTCCAAACAAATCTCTACTGCGCAGACTCTGGCTCCAAACTAATCTCTGCTGCGCAGACTCTGGCTCCAAACTAATCTCTGCTGCGCAGACTCGGGCTCCAAATGACGTCATTTACTCAAGATGGCAGCGGCCATACCGAGATGCTTTGGCTTCACTTTTCTATAGTGGAAGGAATAGGAGACGCGTCGTCCATCTTTTTTTACAGTCTATGATAGGGATATTTTATCTCTCTTATTCCTATACACTACAGCTTAACACTTTAGGGTCGGTAAGATTTTTAAACTTATTCTCTCATCCTCACCAAGTCTGCATTTATCTGAGTTTATTTGGGAGTTTTCTATTTGAAAATATTTAAAAATGTAATTTATTTTTGTTATTAATTTTTTTTGCACCCGTTACTCCAGTCTTTAGTGTCAGATTTTCCTTCAGAAGTCATTATAATATGCTGATTTGCTGCTCAAGAAACATTTATTATTATTATTATCCATGTTGAAAACAGTTTTACGTCACATTCTGAGTTTGCATTTCACCGTTTTTATGCAATTCTAGGAATACTGAATCTGTTTTTGTGCAAGCGAGATGAGTAAATGCATGTTGACATTTAGAATAGGACTACAATAACTATCATGCTTACACAAGCGCACAAAACGCCTCTGCAATTACTCCCGATTTCTCTCAACATGGAAACAAGAGAGGTCTCAATCAATAAATGGAAAACAAACTAACTTGTGTTATTTATTTGAAAAAGTAAAAAAGCAGACATTTTGTTGTGAATTTAAAAGTAATGTTATTTTACTAGTTACTTTAAAAAAAGTAATCTGATTACGTAACTCAAGTTACTTGTAATGCGTTACCCCAACACTGTAGAAACCACATAGCACTGCTCTAAAACCTCTCCTTACATCCACGCAACTGCATAGCAGCATGCTAACGACCTTTCTAATGCATATCAATGCCTTAGCAAGGCGCAGAACACCATGGGAACCACCCAGCCATGCTCTAGCGACCACCTTAGCAGCGCTCATGGAAAGATCTAGTCTTTCAATCTCTATTTTGTTCAAAGCATGTGATCCTACTGACTGAATTGCTTTATTAATGGAGATTAATTTGGACTGAGCATTTGGTATTTGTATGTCAGCAGCTCTATGGGGAACAGGCAGTGTGAGGGTGGAGATTAAAGCGGCAGGGCGAGCGGGGGGCAAACTGCCTGCTAGAGTCAGAATGCTGACTGGCTTCCTGAATATGAGGCTGGGAGCACATTCCTTGCACTGCCCTACGCTAATCAAATACTCATGTGTCTCCATACGTACAACACCCAGCACCTGTAGTACAGAGCAGAATAACAGCAGCTAGATAAGATATCTTACTCTATACATGAAGGATAACACCCATTTACAGTGGGGTAAAATGTGCAAGAGACATTTCAGGTTAAATGGTTTTTAAATGGTAAAATGGTATTTTAATGGCTTTTTCTGTTCTATGCCTTTCCAGTCATCAGAGCCAAAGTGGTTGGACAGAAGGAGGTGGTCACTGGTAATGATGTCTATGGCTATCCAATCAAAATGATCCGATATGACATCAAACAGATAAAGGTTAGTGGAGAATCCTATCCACCATTTTCAATCCTACACTGATTTTATTTTCCTGAAGCCAACCACAAAACTACTGCTATGTTATTATGGAATTACCATGATTATGACATGCATACTGTTACTGCGACATAGCCTCATTAGAAAAACATTTGTCCAAAACTCCAAAAACGTACCTGTACATATAATTCAATGCAGTTTCCAGCTCAAATGAACACTAGTGGCAGTAAAACACCAACAACTTTCAATCGTATTCAAACAAATTATGATTACACGTGCAGATTATTGATTAATAAAGACTTATTATTTGCACAGTTCCTTACATAATACAAGGGTATGTCCTCAAAAGACTTTTACCACAGTGCATGAATTGTAAACGAATACATTTTGACCTTTACATCACATAACCAGCTGCATATGTATGGCTTCTCTGACAAAGTAAACTTGCTCAAAAGCTCACCCGGTACAGCATTGCATTTAATGGCGCTTTTCCACTGCGTGGTACGGCACGGCTCAGTATGGCTCAGTACGGCATGGCACGGCTCGGCTTGGTTTGCGTTTCCACTGCAGTTTAGTACCGCTTTAGAGCGGGTGGGATTATTCACATGTCCTTATAGTTGCGCCGCCTCTACTGCCGCGACTCCTGAAAAACGTTTTCATTCCGCGTCGCCCCATCAAGCTCTCGCTGGATCCGCTCCTCTGCTATCAACGAGAGGACCGGCTGTACTTCCTCAACAGACAACAAAACAGCCATTTTTGGTGCGCTCGTTCAACAGTTGCGTTCGATCCTTCGCTGGCTGTGCCGATATAAATCTAGCGGGTCTGTTGTGTCTCGTGTCGCAAGTTCAGTGACGCAGGTAGTGACGATTCTCTCCGGCCAA